CGACCGAGTGAATTTCGTTAGCATCGCTAAAACGGGAATGCCCACTGTATTCCGATCAGCGATGTACTCGCTGGCCCGCGAACGGCCAGATCCTCGAGCGAGATCCTTTTGAAGGACACCGAGGCTCCGTCAAGATTAGCGGTTATTGACGCGACATTTTGCGAATACGACGATTCATAGTCGTAAAACGTAAATTACGTTCACGAGGAAAATTAGGTTAGTTCGTTAAGGAGATTCTCCAGTCTTTTTACATAATGTAAGAATTTGATCAAATATCGAGAATAACTTTGTAATTAGTATGTAGACATTCCGGAATTTTTTCAGATTTTCTTGGCATAATTTTCTTTAGATAATTTTTTAAAATAGGTTAAGTTCTTATGAGAGAAAAGGAGGGTTTTAAATAATTTAATTGTGAACAAAATAGAAGAATTTTGAAGTTATATAGATGTAAAAAAATGAAATTCAAAGAATATTTTGGAATTAAAATATGAAATTTCATCATATTATTTTCGTGTAAGAGTATGAAAGTTTATGAATTACTCAATTCCCTTTAAGTATAACGTTACATTAATGAAAACGTGGTAATGTTTCCACCAGAATTATCAATATATAAATTAAATTTAAATAATTACTATAAACAATTATTTTCAATAATATTTATTTTCAATAATATTTATTATATAATAAAGAAAATATATTTAATAACAAATTATAATTTTACTGTTTAAATTTTATTCATTATTTATTTTTTAGAAGATGGCATTTTGCATTTTTTGTGCTCTCGACGTCTGCCTAGCTGCCCTCCTCCCCCTCCCATTTAACCAAATCTTAATGAATAAATTATATAATAATGCGCTATTTATGCGCTCTCAAATTCTGCAAAAAAAATTTTTGTGTTTATTTCGTTTAGCTAAAAAAAAATTTTTTTGTGAGAGGTTTCAGTAAACTGTTAGTCAACCCTCTCACGTGTTAATAACAACCGATTTGGAAAATCACAGGATTTATGCGTTACAATTTCCAAGCAATTTCGATTTTTGCTTTCCTTCTTGAAGCAAACAGTAATATTTGTATCGTCATTAAAAATTACGAAAATACATCAACTGTCCAAAGTATATTTTTTATTTATGCCTTATTCTAAGCAATTATTAAAAGTATTCATTCGTTTCTTGATAAATAAACATGAAGTGTATTCAAATGTATTTTTATTTATTTTTTCGAATATATTAGATGTATTCATTGGAATATACACTACCTTCATCAAACCTTTTTACCATCTCTGATTTTTTAACAACACAATTTATGATAGAAACGAAAATCCCTAAATCATTTGACTTAGGAATGAATATGTCTGTTTGCTCCAAGAGAGAAGTTCCTTAAAGGTTTTTGCAGCGCAAAAATCGATTTTACTTAAAAATAGTAGCGCATAAATCGAAGATATATTTTGCATAGTGTAATTTTGCAATTTCAAACGACTTAGGAATGAATATGACTGTTTGCTCCAAGAGGAAAGTGCATTAAGGAATGCAGCGCAAAAATTGGAACTGTATGAATATAGAAAATAACTATATAAATAGCACATAAATCTTGTATTTGAGTTTCCAAATCGATTGTTATTAACACGTAGGAGCGCTAAGTGACAGTCTTCCCTACAAAAAATTTTTTTTTAGCTAAATGAAATAAGCGCAAAATTTTTTTTTGCGGATTTTGAAAGCACATAAATAGCTTTGAAAGTACATTATTGTATTATTTATTCATTAAGATTTGTGTGGAGGGGGGGGAGGGAGAGGCAGTTACGCAGACGTGTGTCTCGTGTTAAGGTAAGAAAAGTCACGTGACTCTCCTCCATTTTTTTTAAGCTGGAGAATAAAAATTCCTTAAGAATTCGCGAAGCGTAAATCGGGAAGCGTGAACGTTTTCAACGAATATAAAATCTGATTGTTCCAACATTAATTCCAACATTAATGAATTGGAGCAATCACAGGGACGTGAGACCGTTTCGAGAAAAAAAATCTGAATTGGATATATGGATTGGGCATATGGATCATATTAATGACGTATCATCGCGTCGGCAACGTAATTATTATTGCCACCCGAACGCGGAGAGAGCGCAGCTCTCGAGGGCGCGGCAAATGTATAATGCATCTAACTGGGGATGCATCCGTCGCTCCGGCTGCTGGGGAGCTGAATACTTAACGACACGGGCGCATTTGAATGCTTAACTGACACGTTCGAGAGGCGCGACGCGAAAAAGCGGACGGCGTCGTAAACGTCGCCTGGCAGGACGGACGGCACGAATGCTCATTACGATTTTATCTCGTCGAGTGCATGCCACGATTTCCGGGACCCCTTGCGTTCATCCACGACATGCCTTTCTGCATGCCAGGTATGGGAAGCCAGTACGAGTATGTATGCACCCTAGCTCGCGCTATAGACGAATAATTCAGCTTGTTTGTCTCATCTATCCGTCTCTATTTCTCACTCGTTCCCTATTATTTCTTACGTTGCAATTGTACTGTATTATCAATCATGATTAGCATTTATCTATGATTTGTATTTATCTATTTATCTTCGTTGATGTTCGAAGAATAAATAAAATGGAAAATTTAATTTATTGCGATTTAAATTACAGCGATATAAAGTATTGCGGTCTTGCAGAATCTATAATAGTTATGTAACTTTATCGTGAATTTTATGATACGTATTTTTCCACAAGTTATATTTTTAAATGTGTTATTTTCAGATGATTCTCTTGTCTGTCCGTTCCTTTCTTCAAACGAGTAGCCTTTTGCGACTTCTTTTTTCATTAATCAGATATTGTTTTGATACATTAAAGATTTTTCGTACAATAATGCTTTTTAAAATACTGTTTTTGTAATGTCTTAGCCTTTCAACCAAGTTTCTTGTTTTTTCTGATTTCTTTGACAACCGATATATGTGTGTCTTAAAAAAACTAGACTTGCTTGTCGTTGTATAGGGTTGCTTGTTTTTCGCTGGATGTTTTGTATGCTAATTGCGAATCATCGTACAATAATAAAAATCCAATCGTATGATAATAACTCATTGTCAGAAATTTGTATGGCCTCAATATTTTTATATTAGAATTTTTGATTCCAGTTAATTTTCAGAATGTGCCACTAAAATATTATTCGATTGCTATACTCTGCAAGCCGCGTATTATGCACATATAATAGACTAAATTTGCTCTGTATGACATTAATTTTATATTCTATTTCTACTCTTATTTTAACTAGAAGACAATGTCGCATATTTTTATTACAAATAAATGAAATTATATGTATGAAAATTTAATTGAAGAATTGATTATTTTTGTAATCTATTCTCTCTTTCGCTCTTCATTTATAAATCAATATTTCCATTTTTCTTTATATTCATATTGTTACAGAAATAATTGATACTAAATTGCTTTTAAACATTAAATATTTATATTTTTCTACGAAATTACATTTAAGAAATAAATGTTAAAATTTAGAATGTATTATAAAATGTGATACGTAAAAGATCTAAATAAATATTATCTAGCGAATACAGGGCAAGATATTCAAACAATGAAAAATAAAATTTATGAAGTATTGTGTACTTTAATGAAATATTTTTAAATCAATTTTAAATATTTTGTAATTTATCAAATATCTTTTATGATATGGAGGTAAATTTCGAAATTTATGAATAGAATCAATCAATATCAAGTGAATTATTTGCAACCAATTGACATTGTTTCGTACAAAAAACAAATGCATTGAATAATAACAATAACATGACAAAATCGAATTATAAATCAGGTTTATAAACTAAATGAATCTTTTAGTTTTTTCTCGTAACATCTGAAGTTTACTATAGTCGATGTTTGCGAAATGATGTAAAATCCAAAATAAATGAAGATCCTTTTCCTCCTGCAGCATCAGTATTGTCAGTTGTGAATTTTTTATGCAAATTTTTATGCAAATTTTTATGTTGTGTGATCAATACGGTATCGAAAATTTTTCATATTAAAAATTTTTATATTAAAAATTATTCTAAATAATATTATTTCAAATATTTGTATATAATTGAAGTGTACAATAGATAAACTATAGAGAATGTATATATAAAAAATTATATTAACTATATAAAAAATTATTTTCTCGTACATAAAATATTTATTGGATTTCACGTCATCTTATGATTGTCAAACATCAATCAAATTATTATTATTATTATAAAAAATCAAGTTATTAGTATATATGAATAGGGATTGGTTATAAATGTAATAAAAAATAATAGCGGGTTATATGAGAATAAATAGTATTGAATATTAGTGTCTTTTTGGAATGGAATAAGTTGGAATATATTATGCGATTACTATATATATATATATATATATATAAAATATATAGTAATCGCATATATATAATATATGGAATACTTTTCATTTTTATTTATGTTTGCGACATACACATATTGAAAAATATCTTCGTATACTAAATGAAAGGCTATGCAGGAGGAGATGCAAAGATCCAATTATATTTAAAAAATACTTGCAAAGGAGAAAGAGATTTCTTTTGAGAAATCTTCCCTATATACAGAATACTTGATAAAAACTATTTTTTTATTTCATTTGTGAAATTTTCTATCTTATTTATATTTATGCTTGCAAATTTCTCCTATAAATTACGGACTGCGTGTATCGCGTACTAATTAGTATTCTATCATATAATAAAACACCAAATTGGGCGATAAATAACGATGTATAATGAACCCTATTATACGAGCTTTCTGTGTACATTCTCGTATACATAATCAATATAATAAATATATAATAAATATACAATAACCAACAAATTATTGCACGTGTTCTACAATTAAATATTAATTCTCATCTGTCTTAGTCCACCAATTTATGGTGGTATTACCAACGGATTTGTGAGACACGATATTTCTCTATAATATTCTTTTACAGATTCATTTATATTTCAACTTAAAGCAAATAATTTTTCACTCACCGATATGATGTGCAGCAACAGAGTTATGACTACTTTCCGACTATGTTGATCTGTAAAATACAAGATTCAATTTATAGCAATGTTCGAAATCATTAAACATAGGTAGTTCGTAAGATAATTATAAAAATTATAAAGATTTAGAAAAATAACAGATGAAATAATAAATAGCAAATAATTCACCCTGTTTAGGATGTTCCTGGGCTTTTTCTTCTCTCGCTTCTCCATAGATCCTTCATGGCACAACGCTCGCTCGCGAAAACACCGATTAATTACATCACGGCACTCCCAACATTAATCACAATTCGTGACACGTATTTTTATTATATTATGACGGAAGAATAAAAGTATCATCACATGAAACTACAATCTGTTTGATGTTTCGATTCGCGACTTTTCGTTAATAATCGAAAAACTGGAAACAAAGTCGGCGAGTTCATCCTGAAATCACACAATAGCACACAAATAATAAAACGATGTTCATGATCAATTTTAATGTGAATGGACGATTAGAAATATAGGATTCAGTTGCCCGCGGAATAAGCTTCAGATATTTCAATATTTTGAAATGTATATATTATTAATTAAATGATCGATGATATGTATCACTCGGCACTTCCTTATTTAAATCATCCGCGAAAATAAATATAGATAATAGATAAATTATTATTGAAATTGTCGAAATTTAAAGCAGTTTTACTGAAGTACATAAAAATTTAGCTCGATTTGAAAATCATTTTGTTGAACTATCAAAATAATCATTTAGGACACTTAAACTAATTGCTAGAATGTCACAACTTTGCAGCATTATTCATTTCATGTTTGAATTTCCTACATAATTATTTTGATGGTTCAATAAAATTGTTTTCACAGATATTCATCTATTTTTTAAATACTTCAACAAAATCGTATTATTTCCGCGTTATTTTGATTTACATAAAGAAATATTTTGAACAGATCGTGTGCTGCATCATAAAATAGCTTGGGTTTAATTGAGTCGTTAATCGTGAAAGGTAATTGTTCAATAATATATATATATATAATTGTAGTACAGAAATCGAGATCAATTGAGTTTCGAGAGATAACACACAGAGCAGCCCGCCACTATCTCTGTGCTCGAATTCGGAGCGCGAATGATAGCGACCTTGCGTAAACACAGCGCGTTGCAGAAACAAACTCTAAGACCGTGCGTCAGCTGAATTCCCCAAAATCGTAAACATATATCGAATAATTCTATACCTTGTGTTTCAAATTAATTACTAACTAATGATTGACTTTCTACTATGAAGTTCTGTTAATATTTCATTAATAATTAGTTTTCACATCCATTTTTGTTAATGACTAATTCGATCTGGCGATTCACATATTATTTAACGCTTACAATTCAAATATTATAATCCATGATGAGCAAATTGTTTACGATTTGATAAAAAAATTCAAAGCATGATACAACGTATGTATGTTCGAATCTAAATTCTAAATAAAGAAGTAATTATCTATATTGCGACAAAATAATTATTATTTTTGATCACTTCAGTTCTATATGAATTGAATAAAATTGAATGTTAAATACTTACTTTGATGATAATGATTTAATATAAAATAAATAGACCTATGATGTTAGAAATGTAACATTTTTTTCACGACAATAATTAAGAGTTAATAAGTTTACGGATTATTGGAGACTTATTTAGATTATTAAGATAATTAATTATTTAAATTAATTGTGAGAACCGTAAAGAAGGATCACGTTTCGAGGGGTAACGCGACGCACGAAGCGGCTCACGTCGCTGTCTGTCTGCTCGAGGCTTGTCGCGCGAATGACAGCAAGATGTATACAACAATACGCTGTACGTTGCAGATAACAAACTCCGAGTGTGCCAGGCAATTTATCGCCCTACAAAATATTTGACGCTTCCTGAAATAAACGCATGCAGATTATTCTGTTCATAACGTTTCGTATTAATTTCGATGAAGGCGCTATTATCGTATATTATTCGCGTTGCCTGAGATAACGGAGTAATTCCGTAACTCGATTGCGAGAGCGTTTCTGGAAGCCTAATGGAAATATTGTCACTTGAATCCCCAATTCGGTGAGTACGCTGCAATTTTAACGGAAACGGACTTTGACTATTAAATGGCTTTGTAGAATGTCCGCGGTCGGATATAATTAAAATTCATCCGGTGGGCGAATGTAAATCTGCAAATTTACAGTGTGCTCGCGTGTGAGTATGTCTGAACGTGTCCTCGGATCCCTCATATTCCCGCAATTTTGCGCTTAATGACGTAATTCCGTACTCGCCGTTACCGAGGTGACGTTAAAAAGTATCCTCATAATGGAAAAGAGCAAGAGTGCAGTCTCACCTGCGTTATGCACATACGAGGATATTCGCAGCATTAATTTCGATTCGTCAGAATGTTAAGAGCAAGCATTTCAAAAATTATTCCTGTCACGTTGTTTTATTTTCAAGATATTTCTTGTCACAAAAATATTTGTCTCTTCGCCAATATGTCAAGAGAAATACCGATGGTTTCTATGTGAGTTAAGAATAGATAGAGACAAAAAAATGTTCCTAAATGTTGAAAGAACGATTTTGGTGAAATCTAAAAATTTAGATGAACCTCGCTCAATGATTACTTTAATATTTAAAATTTGCTAAATACGAATCTGAAAATAATTTTGTCTGAATCATCATTTTGTTTGAAAATAATTATGTAGTACACTAAAACATAATAAGTAATGTTGCAAAAAGTTTTAATTTAGCAACTATAGGATGCTCCTAATTATTTTATCTATTAAAATTATTTTTAAATTTGAATTTAAATATTTTATAACAAAATCATTCTTTCCGTGTAGTTGCTAAAATATTAAAACTTTTTGCTGCATTGTCATCAACGTTGAATGCAAATAAATTAGACATAGACTCCTTCTAATTAAAAATATAATAACAAATTATTATTAAGTTATTATTAAGAATATTAATTTTTTACATTTCTTTCCGCGCTGACTCCAAAATAGCTCCTTGAAAATTCATTATATTTATAATTTCAGATTTCTATCTAACTAAATTTTTAGATACTTCAGTAAAATCGTTCTTTCCGTGTAGTTAGAAGAACAATCTTAAATTTTAATTAGTTTTACTTAAATAGAGAATCTTAACTTCAACTTTACCAAAATACGAAAATATTTAGTTATCGAATATTGACAAAAACAATTTAGTTGTGAATTTCTGCTGACGGTGATTCAACGCTGGATTACTCGAAGGACCTCATTAGTTCGAAACATGGGTGCGAATTTCCGGGACACCGCGTATACCCTGGATATGTAAGCTTCCCAGTCGGAAAATCGCGACTTAATCCTCGAGCGGAACGATACGTACCGAATGCACGAGCGATCGACTTAGGACGTTAAAACCGGGCTTAATTCTTTCGCATGGACGTGACTACCGGATACGTCCGATTTCTTTTTGTTCCCTCCTTCTTCTTCTTCTTTTTTTATTTCGATAGAAATAATCCTCATTGCTTATGCTTTCCTCCCTTCTCCGATTTAACGGAGAAACCTCCTACGCACGCGATATTCTTCTCGCCGTCTATGAAAACACCACGCTCCGCTTACCGAGCCACTTCCTAACGACCTTTGAATACACCTTGCGCTCTTTCTGCCTTTCAGCATTTTCTTGCATCCCTTGCTCTTCGTTTTCCGACAAGAAACTTTCCCCGATCCCACCTTGCTTTGGCGTGTAAAAACCTTTGAGATGCAGATCGAAGTTTTTAACCCGCTCGGAATGTAAAGTACACTATTGCCGACGGCGCAAACGTGATTTCGGTATCGCAAAACTGGAATTTCATCTGAATACGATGTACTCTTGTGAGAAAGCGACAGCCGAGAGAGTGAGTGAGTGAGTGAGTGAGAGAGAGAGAGAGAGAGAGGCAGGTTCGGGCAATATTTTGCTTTAATTAAAAATAACGGGTCTCTATGCAATTGTGTTGGTCGCATGCTATTACGATGTCGAGAGTCCGAGAGTCAACGAGAGTTGGTGGAGTACAGAATACACACTAGAGCATAGAATACGAAAACTTAATGTTGTCGACGACGAAATCGTCGTTCCGCCGAATCGGCTTAATTAGAACCTTATCCAACTCACGCCGCACGCCAAATGACTCCTTAATACTTAACAATAATGCGAAATGGTATCCGAGTTTCCAACATTTCCGGTAAGCGTAGAATAGTCACCCTCGCACTTTCGTGAAATTCACCATGTTGGGAACGTTGGCGCGGAGCGCTTTTAATAATTAGAAATTCGCGAGGAAGAATGGAACAACGAGGTACAAAGGGGTTAAAAGCGCGGCCGGTATAATATTTCGATTAACGGGCTCGTCGCAAACCTGAAATGGCGAAAGTCTTTTGTCAGTGCGATTCCCAATTTGCCGCGTTCATCAACAGTCGCCCTCTTGAACGGCGAAGAATTCTAAAGAGCGACGGAAAGAGTCGTAATAAACGAAGCGCTCTAAATCTCGTGCTTAAGACTTTATTATCACTCCGTGATTAATCAATGATATTATTGCGGTTATCATTTCGAGAATTTGTGACGTGATATAATTTAAGGATAAATCGCTAATGAATATTTGCATGTGTAAGCTAAAAATTGAAGTATACAAAACACAGTAAACAGGGTAAAGAAAGTCATTTACAGCTTACTTCATGTCAAACATTCACTTTACACATTATTGCGAACGAAAGACGAAAGAGAAAATGAAAACGTCCAGTTGAAAAATGACGGAGGGTTGCAATCGCGGTCTTTACCGAGAAAATCTATCATTCCCTGGCAACACCGGGCGGAACTTACTTTAGTTTTTAATGGAACACGTGCTGTTATCCAGCAGTATGAATTATGCGAGCTCCTTGAACGTCGATAGCAGAAATAAAGCGTTCGATCGCACTTTTCTATAAAAATGGTCAAAGCAGAGAAAAAGATTGAAGTAGAAAAAGAGATATATCGAGGATATGGCGTATGTTCTGAGATTTCTAAATCGTAACGGTATAAACGGACAACGTCGAGAAACATCGAGGGAAGAAGAGATAAACGTGATACGAGAGATACGGGAGAATTAGGCGGACACGTTGTTTCGCCGTTTAGGGCTGTCCAGGGAATTTAATGGATCCCATCGGATGCAACATGTGCCTGAGAAATCGTATGTATTATGCAGCCGTATCGGCTCAGACTGATCGAGAGCAATGGACCGTTCGCTGCTCTCAAAGACATAGAACATGAACTGGGCAATCCGTACGTACAATTGGTCGACAAAAATGAGAGAGATAAGGTCCGAAGACGGCTAGTCTCTTTCTATTCAATGTAAGTCTAGACCCACAATCTTGCTTTAAGAGGCCGTGAATTGTAAAGCCACGAGAAATTGATTAATCACAGTTGAATATGAGAAAA